TCATATTTGGGCAAAAATCTTCATCGCGAGTCTGAGTCGCTAAAGTACGGGAAGGAGTTAAATAATAAGGTTCCTAGCTGAATCACGTCCTGAATTACTTTGTACTGCATGAAACTTCGTTGTCTGATTGATCCACAGTTATCGTATGAGAAACGCGTTTAACAAGAAAGAGGCTTCCGAGGGAGAATTCAACGAAAAATTGATCGAAATTGCGAAAATACATAATCGAATTATAAAGTCAGTATTCATCGTCTTCCCATTGGGATGTCTCGATTAAAAAACACGTCTTTGTTTCTTAAAGTATTGCAAACATCTTGGAAATGCCTTCGCAAATTCTTACGTCATGCTGCTCATGCTAGGCATCAGTGTCTTAATTCTCAATCTTTTGGGCGTAAGTAATTCTTGAATAAAAAGCAGCTGGAAAGTGTCTAAGAAACGATGTGTTCAGTTATGGCAAGTGAAATTGCAGCACATCGAATTGAAGTACCTGCTCTTAGAAGTCCTTCTGAACCTAGCGATAGTCGCGTATTTGTTCTTGGCTAATTATATGGGCCAAACGATTATGAACAGCAGCGAGAAACTCCTAAACGCCGCGTAAGTAATCGTGAAAAGTATCGTACGTATAAGTCTCGTCGAATTTTTTTTAGCAGGAACAGATAGTTTGGTATTTATTAATACTCCATTAGGCTAGATAGTTTGTTAACTGAAAACGAAATGCAGTTGTGTTCCATAGATACAGTTCTGAATGGTATGATGCTCCAGTGGTCTCGCAGAAAGCCTTGTTGTTCATCATGCAACACAGTTTACAAACTCAGAGTTTCACCATCGGCGGCCTCTTCGTACCTTATTACGAAGGATTTTCATCGGTAAAATATTTCCTGTCTAGATTTTACTGTAGGAATAAATATTTTTCAAATAATGAAAACCAATTATCAAACTGATGTAATAAGTATCGAAGTAACAGCGATCATTGTGCTATATATGTTGCAAATTCCATTTTTAGG